CACCGGGAGGGGGCTTACTGGGGGCACTGGGAGGATGCTCCCTCGGGGCAGTCCCGGGGATGCTCCTTCATCACCCCACCCCAGCGGTCCAGGCAGCAGTGCCAGGCTGGCCCCGCCTCCTGCACTGGCCCCTCCCCTTGTGCCAGCAGGCCAGGAGGTGATAGGCTCAGGCAGGAGGGGTGGGGCTGGGTGGGCGGAGTCTTTGGGTGACAGGTATATAAGGTGAGGTGGGGGGGGAATGCTCCAGTGCAGAAGAGTTGGTGTCTGCTGGAGGTGAGTGGGCATGGGCTGCAGGATCCCCCCAGTAGGGATGGCCATGGTCATGGTCTGCATGACTCACCCCCCCCCAGTAGGGATGGTCATGGTCTACAGGATCCCCCCAGTAGGGATGGTTATGGCTATGGTCATGGTCTGCAGGACCCCCCCGTAGGGATGGTTATGGCTATGGCCATGGTCTGCAGGACCCCCACGTAGGGATGGCCATGGTCTGCAGGACCCCCCCCCACAGGGATGGCCATGGTCTACAGTACCCCCCCAGCAGGCTCCTGGCTGGAGATATCCCTGGAGCATCAGGGTTGGGGTTGCCACCATGGGTGCCCCTGACTCCCCAAAGCCTTTGTTGCCCCCCACCTGAGGGGCAGGGGCGGGGGTGCAGCCCCGTGCCCGTGCCTCACCTTTGCTCCGGCGCTGACTCAGTGCCCCACGCGCCGCTTTGCGCAAGAGCCGTGCTGGCAGGCAGCCTCTGCCCGGGGGGCCGCCGCCAGCCTGCTCCCGGCCAAAGGGCAAGCGTGAGTCCCTGCGTAAAGGCAGCCGTGCCGGGGTGCTGGCTCACCGCTGTGCCGGAGCTGAGGACAGGAGGTGCTGGTGGGAAGGGGGCTCCTGGGGTGGAGAGGAGCTGGACCAGGGCTGAATCCTTCCTCCCCAGAGGGCTGGACCGTGCTCCTTAGGAAGATGGATTACGCCAAGTCCCTCAGCCTGCGCCTGGCTGCTCCCGTCTCCAAGTAAGTGCCGGGGAGCCACTGTCCCTGGGGTGGGGGACACTGGAGCCCTCCCTGCTTCGGCACCTCTCAGCTCCCCGTCGGTGTGCCGCTCCCCACCGCGACCTGGGGGGCTGGCACGGCCCGGGGCTGGCAGTGGGTCTCAGGACACCCCGATCCCCCCCAGATGCGTCTCGGCAAGTGCCTCCATGACCCAGCAGCTGCTGTCGAGCCCAGCCCCGCGACCCCGACCCTACCGCGTCTGCAACTGGGACCGCAGCCTGCGCAAGGGCATCATGGCACAGAGCCTCGCCGAGCTGCTGCGCCAGGTGAGCTGGGGGCTGTCTGCCTGTCTGTCTGCTGGGGGGACTGTCCATCTGCCCCGCTCACCCCCAGCACCCTTGCAGGCTCAGAGCGCCCTGCTCGCCCCAGGGCCCGTCTCACTGGTGCTGGATGAGGATGGCACGGCGGTGGAGACAGAGGCTTTCTTCCGGACGCTGGAGGAGGGCACGGTGCTGATGGCCCTGAGCAAGGGGCAGACCTGGGCTGCCTCCAAGGTGAGTGCACCCCTGGGGGGACGGCAGCCTGGTTTGTCCCGTCTGCATCCCACGCTGGGATCAGTGGGGGAGATGATGCTGGGCTGGGAGGTACCTGGGATGCTGGATGAAGTGGAACCGAGAGGGTGGATAACCCCGGTCTCCCCTAGACGCCTGGCTACCAGCTGAGCCTGTCCAGCAAGCCCCCTCGGAGGATCGATGTCGCCTGCATCACCTTCGACTTCTATAAAACCAACCCGCGGGACCTGGGCTGCCTCAATGTCAAAGCCACGCTCTACGGCACCTACAGCATGTCCTACGACCTGCGCTGCTATGGGGCCAAGCGGCTGATGAAGTGAGTGCTGGGGGGGCCGGAGATGGCTCCGGCAGCGGGGATGGGACCGGCCCCTGCTGCCCATACCCTCTGTGGGGTGCAAGGAGGGATGCTCACCCCTTTCCTCCCTGCCCAGGGAAGCCCTGCGCTGGA